ATTTATTAATAATATTTCAATTTTTTATTATTAATTTTAACATTATAATTATTAAAATATCTTCTTCTTTTTTCATTTAGAGAAACTCTATTAGTACAAAAGAGGAAAAATGGAAAAAGTAAGGAGAGTAGACTGAAATGACGTGCTTAATTTCTTGGTCTTCCACTTCGATTCTACTCTTTACGGAAACCGCGTGGTGTGATCAATCAATAAAGAGACTAGAAACCTAACTTTCACATTTTCGTTTCTCTCCCAAAACCAAAGCTCAATCTTACAATCCTTTCCTGCGAACTGATCACCGATCGATTCCACTCTAAAGACTATTTTCCTCTGTCATGCAATAAGATCTTATTTTCTTGTTCAAACATTGAACATTATAAAGGAAATCTAAACCCAAAAAGGTACAAATCATATATTCCCTTAACATGCATCTCATTTTATTTGGTTTATACATTCGGCTTTTCTTTTCATTATGATATGATTTTAACAACTGCTAACAATTACTGCCCTTTTGCCTTGTTTTTGGTACTGAAACCGGGTGGGGTGGACTCAATCGAAGAGGAGCGTTCACTCAACTAAAATCAAAGCAGAATCAAAGCACCATCTAAACCCACCACTCTTCTTTTTTTATCTTGTTTGAACTTCGAAGGCATCTCCCTGCTTTTAGAATTGGAAGGTACTTATTTTATATTTACATTTGTGCTGCTGATTTTGATTTACATATACATGTCTGCCTTTTCTTCTTTTCATCTTTTCAAATATTGCCGCGACTTCCCTTGAGTTCTGAATCAAATCTGCTTAGTTTAATTTCATAGATACAGACATTTTTTTGCCACAAATAAGAATAAAATTAAAAAATTAAGATACAGATCTTTTGCCAATACATGGTCTAGAATAAAATTAAAAAATTTAAAAATGTATTTATGAAATTTTAAAGTGTATTGGATATTTTAAAAAATTAAAAATTTTTAATTTCTAAAGTAAAAATAAAATTATTTTAATTTTTTGTGTATTTTATTGAAGTGTTATGATTTTAAATTTTTTACCTAATTTTTTTACAAATTAGTCTGATAAATATTAATATTTTATTTTATAAAATTTCATAATCCAATTATATAAGTAACACATTTCGCAAAAGTTCTGGTTCGGTCTCTGAATTAATGAGCACCAATGAATTACCCAACTTTTCATTGGTTTGACAGGTCCCTG